TCTCCTGAGTTCTAGCCATTTTACTGAAATTCTAAAGTATATCATGATATATATTAATATATTGAATTATGGTATTTCGAATTTGAAATTTTACTCACAGATAGATGGATTTAAAAATAGAATGTCTTGAAAATTTCATTTCAAACAAATAATTCATTGACGAGAATCTCTCATGTGTTTTGGAAATTCAATATCAAGTGAACAAATTATTCTTCTAAACGAAAATTTTGAGGTCGAAACACTACCAGTGGATTCAATATCCCATAGGCTAAGAATTCTAGTCAAAAATAGCTTGAATTTTTGAACAAAAAAATTAAGCAGACTTATTCATTTAGTATTTTTCATATCTCACCGAATTCTATTCTATCTTATGTGCAGAGAATGTGAATATATAAACAATTATAATCATTCAGAACAATCTTTTCGTTAGACAAATATAAAATTTTTTTATTCTATTCACTAATTGAGTACTGACTATTATATATATGTCAAGTAACAAAAATAATATTTTTTTTTTATCCTCTTACTCAATATTTCCTGTTAATAAAGTATTTGCATCCATCCAAGCCAATGGATAATACGTTTTACATCTAGGATCATTCATATTAGTATTTTTTGATTGTTTAACTAGCATTAATTGACCAAGAATTTTTCCATTTGTATAATCACATACTTTAATAGAACCATGTCCATAACTTATATAAAGAAGAGTACTACGATCTAAATAAATAAAAATTAAACTTTTTGTCTTTTTATCAATAGAATCAAATATAAAAACCTAATGGTGATTCTGAATGAGCAAATTGAATAGAACAACATATAGTATTAGCTGAATCAGATGATAATTTATGTAACATATTTAAATTATTTTTATCAAGATCAACATGACAAATACATATAGAACCTGATTTGTATCTAGAAAAATAATACGAAGATTTAGATATAATATAATCGTTTAATATATTTCTTACGCAATAGCCATAATAAATTTTTGTTTATTTGCAACAGCAAAAAGTTGAACTTCATCATTTTGTTTACCAGATAAAGATTGATTAGTAAATTTATTTAATTTCTCTTCGTTTCTATTCCATCGATAGAGAGTTCCATGTTCATCTCCAATGATTAGTTCTTCATCCAAAAGCCAGATTAATGCATTTGGTCTCTAGAATAAATTAACTCAATCCATCTGCTTTTTTTTTTGAAATCTAGTTTTCATTAACCTACCTCAAAAAAAGAATTTCACTTACTCTTTGTAAATTTAATGTTGCTTGTTTTTGTACTGTTTTTCCTTCTATTGACCATAGAATAACTCGCGAATTTGGAGCACCACCAGTAGCTAATAGACCTGGAATAGTTGGATGATATAGCATACATGATAAAGATTTCGAATGAGGAGAAAATTTTGTAATAAATGATAAATTTTGATTTGAATATGAATAAATATAAAGTAAAGTTGATGAAGTAGCTAAAGCTAGTTGATCACAACATAACGAAACTGATATTGGTTGACGACAAAATGGATTTAATGCACCAGGAAAACATGTTAAAGCCATTTTGTTATCTTCTAATAACTAAAATTTAACAGAATTGAATGTTTCAACATAACATTTGTCTGATTAGTTGATAATTTTAAACCAATAATATTATTCATCAGTATTTCAAATGCATTAATATGTCATGTAAAGTTTTAGTACGTGCCCACAGCCCGATGAATTATTGAAACAATATCAAATATGTATATTGGAGGGAGTTATATCTCTAGACTCCTTTTTTTAAGTCAACATGCAGAATTTTTGAGTCGAAGTAATGTAAATTACCTAGACAGATGTTTGTTTGTCTAGTCTCACTGCAAGTTTTTAAGATTTTACTCAATAAAACGAAATACACTAAAAGATGTCACTACAATCTCATATGTTATGACGTTTCTGTAATTACATGCCAATTTAAAGAAACTCCAAATACGGTTTGATAGAGAAACTGTGTGTCAAAATATAAAAACGAATGTGTTTTTTTTGTGACCATGAGCAAGAAAACAGATGTTTGTATTGTCGTCATTTTCTTTGTACCGTATCAACTGGAATCAATAACTATCTTGCGACAGTAATTATTTATTTTTTAAAGCTAACGACAAAAATAGTGTCTTCATGCGATGGGTAAAATAGTATGAACCAAGAATTCTTCAGAACTTTGTAGAATCTTGGAGTCTAAAACTTCTAAGATTTATTCCCATTGCTAAAAAAATCTGTTGTCAAATATTAACAATAAATACAACATTTTCTAATAAGATTTTTCGTAGCTTCCTCATTCCGAACCTCTTATTTTCAATGTTAAAGATAGAAAATCAGTAAGCATACAACAGAACAGAATATAGTTCATATTTATCAGTAAAGAAAACACATGAATCTAAAAATTTTTAACTTATCAAAAAAAATCATTGATTCAATTATGTATAAAGAACTCTGTTCGGATGAATTGATTTGAATTTGTTGAACGATAAATGAAGAAATCGGCCCACGGGGAGAGTCCTTAAACTAATTAACTACTTTTGAGTCGAGATTATGCACGCACGTAGATTCTAATGAGCTATGTATACTCTAAAAAGAGTTCAGATCTTTAGCTTATTGCTACAAAGATCTTATATTTTTACGGTATTTTTTAAGTCAGTGCCATAGCCTTCGTCAAAAACAGTAGGAAAACTAATTTGTAAATTTCGATTTCAAATTTTGTGCTGAGACAGAACTTGATGAGAATAGTTTATTGTGAAAGTGTCAAATCTTTTCGGTGTTCCTACCCTACAGTACAGCTATGATAAAAACGTGTCTTTTATATCAATTATATACACTGACAAACTCGATATACTTATTTCAGGATAGAAGCAAATCAAAAGGCCTAAAATTTTCACAATAAACTACACTCGTTAAAGCTTGTATCTGTACGAACTTTCAAGTTAAAACTCGAAAGTCAGTTTACTTAGTGGTTCTGACGGGATCCAGAGGATTGACTTGAAAAATACCGTAAAAATGCCATATCTTCGTAGTAATAAGTTAAGAATCCGACATCTGTCTAGGGTATTTATGGCTCATTAGGATCTAAATGATGCACATGGTCCTGATTCAAAAG